ATGTTACTCATAACGCCTTGCATGTTTTTCATTCAGCTTCCTGAACTTTTGGAAATAATCAAACCGAAACTTGACATGATTGGCTTCAAGAATATAGCTTGCATCTCAGGTAAAGATTTGTGTATCTCTTTCTCTCGCTGCATTCAACTTTTGATGAATATATTTTATCAGGCAATGTGTTTACAAAGACAGAAAATGTTAAATTGAACGAGGAAAATTGAAATTGAAATAATTTCTCAGTTTTCGAGGGAATGGATTTGAAGGTGATTCCCTATAGCCTTGCTTAGTCTTCTTTTTCCTCCCTGTATCTTTGGGGTGAAAAACATTACTGGTTCTTAAGCACATTTCACTGCTAGTGTTTGCAGATCAATTACACTTCTAAATGACTTGGTTCTAAAATGAAATGAAAGAGGAGATGAATGGAGGTGAGTGAAGGAGGTTTGGAGAATTCTGACTCATTTGGACACTTGCCAAGTACAGTTAAGAGAGTGGGCAGTGTTTTAAAACCTGCTCTTTTATATCTCTATGAAACATAATATTGAAACGGTTGTATCATAATATATAATCTAAAGTAGTACAATCCAGCTCTTTTTGTATTTGTTTTTAACTTACTTCAGAGGAGTTGTAAAATACCATATACCTAAGACTGGTGTTTCGATTTTACAGTGCATAAATGTATATATTTCTCCAATAGGAGCACTAGAAGACTCAAAGAGTTCTTTACTAGGTTCCTGGCCAACCTTAAACAGTAAGATTATTCAAGACTTAAATGATTCTTGCTTTAGCTGCTTGAAAAGCGCCCTGGAAATCCCAAGACTGTATAGAAGAACTAACAAGGTATGTTTTTCCCATTTGAAAATATATGTATGGACACCATAAATGCCCATTATAATAACTATTTCTCTTGTTAATGCTGGGATGTGTGTGTAACTATATAAATGTTAATATAAAATGACCTTTAAGTCTGCAAAGCTTCCTGTACTCTACAAGAGTTAGTCTCTCAAAGGCTATTAAAAGAGAAACTATGTAGTCGTATCATGTTCAGATGCCCCCCATTATCCATCTTCATGTTCTATTTCTGTATTTTCTATTTTTCTAACTCCCTATTGACCTAGGAAAGGTATAGTGATGTACAAAGTAAAACGCCCTTCTGGTTCCTCTTATACTCTGTTGCATTTCTAAAGCAGAATTTGGCAGGGCCATCAATGCCTTTGCTTCCGTTGATATGCATCTCTTTTCCAGATAAGTGGTTATTAGCTGACAAGGATTGTTTCAGAAGTAAATAGAGAGTTCCAACATCAGATATCTCCTATTTCCCACTGCACCCACCTATAGAGGAAGAAAGCCAGCATTGCCATTAATGTGCTAGAATGGCTCAAACTCTGTCATACAGAGCTTAATTCCAATTTGCTGCTATTGAAACTGTTAAGGTTTTGATAGTACAGCTGATCATTCAAGGTTAAATCCTTTGACTAGGCGTTTCATTTCTTTGTCAGCTGCCAAATCTCTGTTTGGCTCTACAAGTGTTAATTCTGATCCAAATTGTGATAATTATGATCGGAAAAATACATTTGCTTTAAAGACCATGTAGGTGATGCATGCTTTGCCATTTTTCTCTAGAATTGCCTTAAATATTATCACAGATTATTCATTGGAATGTTTAACTGTTGCTCCTGAATGATTCTAAGACTGCTGTGCGTGAACAATTAACCATTCATCTTTCTAAATGGTCATGTTAAGGTTTACTTTAGACGCTTAATAAAGTTTTCTCTTGTTTGTTTTTACATCAATAACCAGGAAGTGCCAACCAGGGCATTGCCCTATGTTGACAGTGCCCTTAAACCTTTCCATCAACTGAAGAATGACTACAAAGATATATTAAAGCCAGCTGTGATTGAGCAATGGCTGGAAGGAGCCCTCAATACAAGCACACAGAAGTAAGTGACATTTTAAGAAGAATGTTGCCAGACTAATCCTACAGGAAGTTGTTGAAAATTCAGAGATTATGTACATTCACAACTCATTACTATATATCAAAAAGCTTTCCTGATAACCTCCATTAAAAGGACATAGGTCTCCTTGGAATTTCCATTCGCATCTCTAAAATCCAAATCTTTACACATAAATTAAATACACATAAGCCTGTGTGTCTTTTGAAATTCCGTACCATTGAAGTAAAATAGGAGTGTTTTGTTGCAATTGTGTACATCAGGGCTGTCAAACTCCCAGCCCACGGACCGGATGCATCACATGCTGGCCACTCCCCCGTCCAGTTTAGCAAAGGGGGAAAAAGTCCCAATACGTCACGTGACACCACTGTGACGACATGAGTTTGACCCCTGGCATAGATAAAGCTAAAATATAATTTAAAGAGGGTATGTTCCAGGCTAAAATCAGCAGTTTTCAGTTACTGTTAAATTAAATGGGAGAGAAAGAGCATAACTTCATTTCTCTATATTTACTTACAGTGCATTTCTGTTTTTTCCTTTTTAATAAATTTACAGACATTTCTAAAATTCTGTTTTCACTTTGTCACATGAGCGTAGCCAATTAGTGAGTCAAAAAATGAATTTCAGCAACTATAGAATCAGGCTGCAAGCTTAACATAAGTGAACATAAGGGTCTAAATACTTTCTGAATACACTGCATATTCTGCTCCCATCCTATAGGCACAGCATAACTATTACATACACAATATACGCTCTTCCTCCCCCCACGCCCAAGAGGTTCTGTCCACAAGTGCTCATAATCTAATCCATTAATTCCTCTTCATGTAGGTACTTGGATACAGTATCAGATATTCTACATTCTGTAAAGAAAATGGAAGAGAGCTTGAAAAGGCTAAAACAAGCCAGAAAAACTGTAACTGCAAATAATCCCTCTCCCTCTGGAGGCATGAGCGACGATAGCAAAATCCGCCTACAGTTAGCTCTAGATGTGGAACACTTTGGAATGCAGGTAACTAGATGCCAAAAACAGTTAAGGTAGTGGCGGTTTGCATAAATATAGCTGTTAATTTGTTAGAGTTTGGCCGCACAAACCTCCGTTCAGATCTTTTGGCCAGTCATTCTCTTTTGCTTTGGGTACCTTTTTGGGGATGATCATTCACTGTTGCTCCAGTTTATTTGGAGCAATAGTGAATGATTGTATGGTTGATGAGGGTTTTTTGGGACAGGGGTTGTAACTTCTTGAAATTCAATGCTCATGTCGTAGATCTTCTGATTGTATTATGTTTGAAATACTTCTAGTGTTGCTTACAAAGCAATAATTAGTAAATCTGATATTTTGTTTCAGGTGGAGAAGATGGGGATTCAGCTAAGCAACATTAAGAGTTTTTCCACTCTTTCGGAGCTTGTTCAAGCTGCTAAAGGTCAGATGGGCACCGAACAAACCTAACATAATCTCCAGCTTTTTAATGAAGAGACCTAGTTTCCAAAAAATAAAAAAAGTTTATTTTTTATTTTTACTTTCCTTTGCCAAATACTGTTTAGCAAAAAAAAAAAAAAAAAGTGCTTCCTAATGCAGCTGCAGCAGCAGATTTAAAAGTGTCTCAAAATAGAAAAACTCATTTCACGAAAATAAAGAAACATACAGGGGAGAACGTATATTTTGGTTTTCCGTTATATGGAAGGCAGTTTATATATTTCTAAGTATTCTGCCATAGGATTATGGAAATATTTTTATTTTTATTGTAAATTATTATCATGCAGAAAAAAAAATGAATTTAAGGTGATTACAATGAACAAGAAGAATTTTGTCTTTTTGTAAATTTTGTTAGAATAAACAATGGTGTTAAGTATGTTGCTATGACTTGTATGTTTTTAATGTTTTATTTTGTGATACAAATAGTAAAAAAAAAACCGTAAGAGTAGCAAAGTTGTGACGTCTAAGGATTGTTTGCATCATACTACTTTGAGTTTATAAAGAACTATTCTTGGTTTTCTAAAAAGAAATCAGTTTTGAATTTTTCCTCAATGGTTGGCATCTTTTATTCCGAGTCAAAAGCCTGTGAAGAAAATCAAATGTTTCCCCAAATGACTTTTTTTAAAAGATGTTTTCAGAATACCTGCTGTTTTTCTTTTTTTGCTCTACAATAAGGGATTGATAGAATTGTGGTGTTTAATTAGTAGAAGTTTCTAGTATTATCTCAAAAATCTCAGAATTCAGAATTCAGAATTAACGAGTGGTTTTTATAGTCTTAGTAGGGATTATGGGAAACTCTTGGTTATGGAAAACTCTTTACTTCTCAGGGACCTGGAAATCCTATTTCCATTAAAATCCCTATTTCCATCATTGAAAATGAAACAGATTTTTTTTTCCCCTCTGTGAGGTCATTATAACACAGCATGATCCCTGGAAGGTTGAAAGGCTAATTTGTGGCTTCTGGCTGCCAGGTTGTGGCCATTACCTAATTTGAAAACAGGTGAGTCCTGACAGGAAGTTCTGTATTTGAAGAAATGCACATTGTTATGACTTCAGAGATAGTATCCTAGAATCACAGTTGTTCTTACGCTATTAGTTGATATTAAAATCTTCCAATCAGAGCGCTGGATTGCGAAGGGTTGAGGTGGTGGCCTTGTCTTAAATTGGTTTCGTTTCTGCCTACACTAGCATGCATTTCAAACAAATTATGTTTTCCTGATTCTCTTTTAGGATGTTTAATATCCAGTTTCGATCCTGTTTCAAAGGAATGCATATAGACCCATGATTTATAATGCCAAGGTGAAAAGGAGGAACAAACTAGGAAGCAAACACATGAATTTTGGTGTGAAAGCTCTGGCACTCAGAGTAAATTTATAGACATATAAAATGTATAAACACTTTAGTTGTAAACGCTTGTGTTCGGCACCCTGCTTTGGATAATGGATCAGGCAGTCCTGAACTGTTTCCCACTGTCGATTCAAAGCTGGAGCTGGAATGTTGTTATGACCAAGAAGTGCACCCCAAAGCACCCCCCTTTTTTTCTTTCTTTTTTGTAATAATAATTATTTTATTGTTCTTTTTCACCTTTAACACACTTTAATCTTGACTTTAACAGTATTGTATCATTATGCAAATTATTCTACACATCAATCTCATATAAATATCTACGCTGATACATCTTTATATACATTCATTTACTTTTATCTATATTTTTTTTTATTTCTTTTATCTTTATTTCTATTATTCAGCCAATTATACCAATTATCCCAAATTTCATAATACTCCGACTATTCTTTCTCTTTAAGTTTTAATGTCAATTTGTCCATTTCAGCACAGTCTAGGATTTTTTGAATTATTCATTCCTCAGTAGGCATTTTGTTTCCAACATCATGCGTATATTATTCTTGAAGCTGTCAGAATGTGTAATCAAATATATTTAATCTTTCTATAATTCCCTCTTAACTATTCCCAATAGAAACAATTCCAATTTAAATTCTATTCATTCTTCCATTATCTCTTGTAGCCAACTCCATATTTTAGTCCAATATTTCTGGGCTTCCGGGCATGACTATCACATATGGTAGAAGGTACCTTGGTTCTGTCTGCATTTCCAACATGTTGAATTCATGTTAGGGTACATTTTGGCTACTCTCATTGGGGCAAATGCCCCCAATGAGATCAGCGGCCTATAAGGAAAGTATGTATAAAATGTTCCCTCCCCCCCTCCCCCCAGTGTTTCATGCAAATGGTTGAATCCAGTCCCACGACCCAAGTATGGAAAGGCCTAGAAAATGCAAGCAGAGGGATAACTGACCAAGATTAGTCTGTATACTATTAGCCCAAAAAGTTGAGTGAGTTCACTGGGGAATTCTCAATCATCATGCAAACATGATTTGAGTGTGCAGCTTTGATGAAGTAAGTCCCTGTAACATGAATATTATTTAATTGTAACATCCCAATTTAGCTAAAGTTAGTTGTGCAACAATTAAACATAGGCATGGCTAAAAGTCTTTAAATTGAACGTAGAAACCGGGTATTAAGTTCTCTGTTCTGGATATATTATTTCCCATATTTTTAAATGGCATAGCTTTCACAGGGAATATTAGATCTGCACACATTGTTGAATAAGCCAAAATAGTTGGGTTTGGCAAACCATAAACCATGGGTTAAAATGTATATGTTTGGCTTAAACCCAGCACATATTGGAATCTCTCCATAAATGGGAAATGATCTACTTTATCTTAACAATAGTCATAAGAGTTGTGAGCATTTTATTAATCACGATGTAAACAGTATTTTTTATAAAGTTCTATTGATAAATTTTGTCAAGTTTATTTTTGAAAGATGCATTAGTTTTCAAAGCAAGATAAAATAAATCATAAAAACTAAGTACTGTGGGAAAAAGATTAAAGGATTACAGAAAACTGTTTCCCCACCCACCCATCCAGAATTTATGTTTCGTTTAGAGGATTTGTAATTTGGCCAAAATAAATCAATGCAGTCAATTCTTTTTCATACACTGCAAACTGAAATGGCTTGTTCAATGTTATTTTAAGTGTCTCACTGGCATGTTCTTCTGTGTGGGCTTCCTCTTGATCTTTGCTGGGGCTGAGCTCAAAAAGTTGCTGATTTATGATCTGCCAGCAAAAACAAAGATAGTAAATCCGAGTCAGTAGGCCATAGTGCTAAGATTATAAATGAAAAAAGCCCAATAAATGAAAAGATATTTTAAAAATGCTAATAAAGAGATTTAGAAACTTGAATTTAAAAAAAAAGTCATAATGTTTGTAGAAGGCTTATATGGTTTGTGCCTCTCTCTCTCTCTCTCTCTCTCTCTCTCTCTCTCTCTCTCTCTCTCTTTCCCTCCCTCCCTCCCTCTCTCTCTCTCCCATCTACATCCATCCATGGCTGGTTTAGGAATTCTAGGAGTTGAAGTCCACAACTCATAAAAGAGCCATGATTCCTCATCCCTGATCTATGGTATATTTTCCATCCTTGGATGCTGAATACATAATCTAACTGATAGATATTTATATGCTTACAAAGAGCAGAAGTCAATGACAGCATACCTTTCCAATGGTCACATTACTGCTGCTTAGCAATCTGAGATTGGCTTCTTTTCCAAGCAGATTAGGCATCCCGTATTGCACCAGGAGTTCTTGAAGGTTGTACATGCTTGTAAAGGACACCCTTGGGAAAGTCAAGTGAATTGGTCTGCAGAAGGAAGGAAGGAAGGGGAGGGGACAGGGCAAAGCACAAGATTATGAAAGAGTTGTCTCTAAATAAATTCCAAGAAGTGATGATGGTTACAGGCTTCTGGAGGATCTGAGGCTGGATTTGTCACTGAGATCACCTGTACACTGGAAAGGAAATGGGACTGGTTGCCTTGGTTGCTTCTCTGTCTTGACAAAGGGAGTAGTGGTTATCTCTCAAGACAGGTGTGGGAGGAGTAGATAGAGTCCCTTTCCTAAATATGCACTGCAACGATGCCATTGTGTGTATATTTAAAAAAAAAAAGGCACCCAAATTCAGACTTGATACTTGTGCTTGCTCAAGCATTTGATCAGGTCTTTTTATAATGTCCACTAAAAGCGGCTCTTTTCATCTGTACAAAAACAACACGTTTCCTAAAATGATTTGGCAAATATCTGCTTGGATTTTTTTTTTAAAATCTATTTGGAAATCTCCAGAGAAATGCTACACAGCTCCCTTCTGTTGTCTATTAAAAGTCCCTTCTCTTTTGTAGCCATACCAGCTTAAGCTACCACCACCTGGTGAATTTCTTAATCCTTTGTGGTGCCTTGTATCTAGGTACCCAAATCAGTGCAGGAGAGATTAAAATGCCATACGTGAGTGGATACTCTAATAGTACATGGCCTTGAATCCTAAAGAAGGATATGGTTTGGAAAGAATGAAAATAAATATAGGTAATCCTCAAGTTACAACCAGTGACTGTTCGAAGTCACAAAGGCACTGAAAAAAGCGACTTACACTTTCGTTGTTCACACTTATGACTTGCGGCATCCCCATGGTCACGTGGTCAAAATTCAGATGCTTGGCAACTGACTCATATTTATGACGGTTGCAGTGTCCCAGGGTCACGTGATCACCTTTTGCAACCTTCTGACAAGCCAAGTCAATTGGGAAGCCAGATCCACTTTATCAACTGTGTTACTAACTGAACTGCAGTGGTTCACTTAACCACTATGACCAGAAAGAGCATAAAATGGAGGCAAACCCAACTGTCTCAATAGAAATTTGGGGCTCAACTGTGGTTGTTAGTCAAGGTCTACCTATATGGTCAGAATATTCAAATACTGAGATAAATTCCAAATTCTGCGATGCCAGAGGTGGGCCAGATTCCCATCTAGTCCAATTAAAGATATTTGAGTGCCACAAATTACATATTCATGGTATATAATAAAAGAATAAGAATGTTGGAAGGGACCTTAGAGGTTGTCTAGTCAACCCCCTACTCAGGCAATAAACCCTACACCATTTTAGACAAATTGTTATTCAATCTCTTGTTAAAAAACCTCTGGTGTTCTGGAGGCAAGTCATTCCACTGGTTAATTGTTCCAACTGCCACAAAATTTCTCCTAGTTCTAGGTTGCTTCTCTCCTTGATTAGTTTCCACCCATTTTTTCTTGTCCTGCCCTCAGGTGCTTTGGAAAATAGCTTGACTTTCTCTTCTTTGTGGCAGCCCCTGAGATATTGGAACACTGCTATGAATATTTGAGCATGAGTGGTTAGATGAATACTAAAGTTTTAACTAAGACATGCTCCATAAATTGAAGAATCTCATAACTACCACATCTGGACTTCCCCTGATTCTACAAAGAACTTCTTAGAATAATAGAATTGCAAGTGACCATTTCAGCCATCATGTCCCACTTTCTACACTGTGCAGGAATATAAATTAAAGTGTTCCAGAGACATATGACTGTCTAGCCTAAAGAGCAACCAATTATCCACCACCTCCTTGGGCAATTGGTTCTACTGTCAAATTGTTCAAATTATTATGAAGTTTTTATGAGTGCCTAGTGTTGTGATGAATGTGTGAACGTACTTTGATTGCAAGTTTTGAAACCATTTCGGAGAAGGTGTCAAAGAATATTGATCATCATTAGGTAGTTTTTTGTTGTTGCTAGGCTGTAAGAACAGCAAAAATATACTCTTGCTGAGAGGAATTTCAACAATGGAAAGTCCTGTCTGATATTTATGCTTGAAGTTTCCAGTTACTGTCATCATAGGAACAAAGATCTTAGTTTGGGAATCAAGCCAGAATTCTTGAGGTTCTTTGAGTGGGGAAGCTCCATTTATTACAGCTGAAAAACAAATAAAAATACGGTTAAAAGAAACTAATGGTTTCCCTCTCTTTGGCATAAAAAGGATCTAGCTAATATTACATGCAGTGTCTATTTATCCCTTTATCCATGACTCTTCTTGGACAGAATTCAAGTTTCCTACTGCATACATACATCCAAGTGAACTTATAACGCAAAACCCTAAAACAATAAATCAAAAACTGGCAGAGTAGGGAAACTAAATTCAGAGTGTTAAGTAAAGTGTTATTTGAATTAATTGTGCGTATTGCTTTTGATTATGATCTGAGAAACCTTAAGAGCAGAGGTCTCCAAACTTGGCAACTTTAAGACTTGTGGACTTCAACTCCCAGTATTCTGGGAGTTAAAGTCCACAAGTCTTAAAGTTGCCGAGGTGGGGATCCCTGCTTAAGAGGCTCAAAAATGTGCACTGTATTTCCCAACAATTGAAAATCTGCTTGGGGAACTGATCTTCAACAAGTATCCTTTGAAACCACAATAGATGTTCCAAGAATCTCCAAAAGGCCCTATACTACAGGAATAGAGCCATTTTATCCTCCTCCTGTAAAGGTTTCTCACACACTGCATAACTAGTTTCTACAATTGTATCCTATGAGCAGACACAGAAACCAGTTTGGTGTAATGGTGAAGGCATCGGACTATAAATTGGGAGTCTGTGAGTTGTAGTCTCATCTTGGGCACCAAACAGCTAGGTGACCTTGGACTGGTCACTCTTTCTCAGCCCTAGGAAGAAGCAGGCAAGGACAACCCACTTCTGAAAAACATTGTCAAGAAAACTACAAAAATGCAAAAACTAATCCAGGAAGTCATTAGGAGTCATACACTGACTCAAAAGCACGAAAACAAATACAGACTTGGCGGACTCTGGTATGAGAGATAACCAGATCAAATGGATTCACATATTATGCACAGCTAAATTTCTTTCCTACTGTGTTACAATTTGTCAAACACGCATGCAGAAAGACTCATTATCTGTTCAGTACTCAAAGAATCAAGTGAACCTTATCCTCAAACTGGGAAATGGGTGGCATATAAATGCAATAAATAAAAGAAATCAAAGTGGTGGGAAGCAGTTTATTCCTTTACTATATGATATTAAGAAGAGATCTTTAATCTTTGTGCTTTGGCCCTGCCCCATCATAATTGGTGGATACCTTTCTTAACTGTTCTTAAATTGCTACTGTCAATCTCACTGGGGCTACCATGGTTTTGTCTGTGAATCAGTCATTGTGACCCCTTTTTCAGAACAATATAGATCAGGGGTGTCAAACTCAGGGCCTGAGGGCCAGAAACAGCCTGTCGGGTGTTTAAATCTGGACCATGGGGCTGGCCTGGAAATAGCAAAGGACCGACCCACTGTGCCTCTGGCAGCCAAAATAGGGCATGGGGGGGGGGGCTGCATGCGACCCCCATGTGCCCTGTTTTCAGCCTGGATGTCCTCCTGCAGCACTCTGCTGGCCAAAATGTGGTGCGGGGGGGGAGTACATGTGACACAGACACACCGTGCCCCATTTTGGCCGGCAGGGTGCCTACCCCCCCCCCCCGGCCTGTGGAAAAGAATTACAATCGTGATCTGACCCTCAAAGAGATCCAGTTTGACACCCCTAATATAGATCTTCCAAGCAACTCTCTTCCCCACTCTGAGATTCCTCGGTGAGGAATGGGGATGTATTCTAATGGTTAAAAGACAGGCACATAACACACTATATCTGAATACCCAATTACCCGTCCAATTTGCCAGAAGTTAATTTTCATCAGAGGGAATTAATAATAAGGGTTATCCAAGTTATATTCTGTGTTACAGACCTGATGAAGGTCTGGAGATTCAACACCTATTTATTACAATCCCCATTTTAACATGGACAAAGTAGTTATTGCATTATTTTAACAAGTTTCAAATTATTATTTTCCCTTTGATTTTCTTCTCTCTAAGATTGTCATTGTTCTTTCTCTGTGACAATTCCCTTTTCCCTGTCTGGTACCTTTGAAATGAGTGTAAGTTGCCAACAGCAGAGTGGTTTCTGGATCAATGTCAGCCAGCAGACCCTTGGTTCTATGTGTGCTCTTCCTTTCGACAAATGCATTGATTTGTCTTGCTGCCTCTGTGGGGTTGGTGAAATCCACAGCTCGAACATGGAAATTAACATCTGGAAAGGCCAATTCATGGACAAAAGACTCAGATAAATGGGTCCCAGGAGCAGAGAAAAGGCACAAAAGCTTGGAGAAAGTCAATCCTTCTGTGTCCCTGGCGTGTAAGGGAGCATTCAGGATGATCTTCAGGGCAAAAAGAACTTTATGTCCATCTATTTTGAAGGTACAACTTGCGTTGGGTGGTGGGTCAAACCCTAACAAAACCTGCAGATTGGCTGCCGTTTGTCTAGAAGCCCCTAAATAAATGGACAACATAGACTCATACATGAATATAGGAGAGAGGATAATATTGCTGCTTCCGTGTATTTTCTTCAGCTCTTTGTGAAAACGTGCCCCAAGCATATAAATGGGGTCTTTTAAGAACTTCACACCCAAGTGTTTCTCTCCTTCCTCACTCTTGTTGCTCAGACTCTCTTCATATGTTGAAGTGAAATGGGACTCGATTGAGAGGGGAACAAACATCTTCACCAGCTGTTCCTTTTCTTCCAGCTTCTTGCAGCTATTGACATCAGTGTTGTTGAGGGAAGTCAAGTAAAATGGGTGAACATACACCCGATCGCAGCCTCCAGTGGTAAGGTACAGAAGGACACATGGCACAATGACTCCAACTTTCATATTGATGTGGATTTTCACCTGTGTCTGTTTCAGAAAGAAACAATTACTACCGTCACCAATGGATGTTTTATGGATTTTTTTGGCAGGCTTCCCTTTTATGAAATAGCATAACTATCCAAGCCACACAAAAATTAAGGCATGTATTTAGGAAGCATCAGTTAGCCTACATGGAAAATTTGCCATGATCCAGTTGTGTTTCTATAATTCACTGAAACACAAAGTATCTGATTATATGTTACTGTAGTGTTTTATGCACTCAGTTATAAAACTGGGTTTAATTATGGATAAGCTCGTTCAGCAAATATATTCCATCATTCAGTGTTATATTGGTTTATCCAGAGGATATTTCCAGAGATGGACAATTGCAAGATCTTATTCCTTTTTTTTCTTTTGGAATATTACTTGATTTTAAATCAGTCTTGCATAATTTTAAATATATGTTCTGTTTAATAGGGACACCTTAAAAAAAAAATCCTACTTTTTCTCACAAACTGCTATTTGAAAAGATGAAGCTGCCATGTATATTCCTTAAGTCCAAAAGCAACTATGTGGATCTTACTAAACAATAATAGGCTGCGTTTAGGTTTTGCTTAGCATATTGTATAAACCCTGCCAGTTATGGTTTGTATTTTTTTTTTTAACTTGAATGTGTATCCTTCCCTTGATTTATATCACGGGGGTCAAACCCTCCACATCACGTTGCCATCACGTGACATATCGTGATAGATTTTTTTTCCCTTTGCAGACCTGGGTGGGCATGGCCTGTGCATGATGGTATCTGACCCACAGGCTGCTAGTTTAATAACCCTGATTTATATAAATGCTCACCTAAGAGGACTTGCAGATCATGGCTTGTGAATTAGTATTAAACATGCCTCAAACAATACGTAAAACAATCCTTCCTAAAATATCCCTTCTAATGTTGAACTTTTGAATCAACTATTGATTAAAAAATGAAGATAAAGGCTTGGTGGTGACCAGCTAGAACTAAAGTATGGCTTACTCCAGCTCTTCCTGCACATAACCAGGGGTGGGATGCTACTGGTTCTGCCTGGATCTATAGAACCAGTAGCTCTGAAGAGCAGCAGACACCGAACTGTTTCTGTGTCTGCTGCTGTTTGGCCCACCCGCCCACCTGGGCTCTTACCTGTCGTTTATTTCCTGCTTTTTCAACCTCAGCTGCTTTGCGCGGCACAGCTGAGCTTGAAAAAGCAGTAAAAAAGTGGCTTTTCCAACACTCGCACCCACGCACAGCGCTTATCAGCTGTCCGGGCGGCACAACTTAAGGTTTATTATACGGGCGCGTAGCTTAATCACCGAACCAGTAGTAACACCAGTTGAATCCCACCCCTGCACATAACCTTTAGCCAGTTGCGCTCAATTTGCATAAGATTGAGTTATACATTAGCCTCTTTCTCAGGTGAATGACGTAGAGGAGCACTAAACATTGAAGACCCATTGAGCTGAACATTTGCCTAGCCTCTCAACAGCCAGATCTTCAGTGTGGACATCTTTCAAGGCAGTCCTAATATAGACTAACCTAATTAAGATTGCAATTATTATCTGGAATTATGTGCCAGCAAACCCCATCTGTGTAGATCAGTGCTTTAGAAATGATGGGAAGAAGTGATTTAGACTGCGCTCCCTGGTGCCTCTTTAAAGCAGCTTCCTTTCCTCCCCCACTAGCCTCGGAAAATATATAGCTGCTTTAAGAAGCCAGTTCATAAAAGTGAGGCTATAACAGATGGGCTGGAAAAAATTCTGGATGACACTAAAGAGCAGCAAAGAGTCAGCCATCCAGAGCTTTGCAGCCTAGATACAGTGAAGAGCTTCAATACCAAAAGAATGATGTATAAAATCTTTTATATAAAATTTATTGGATTAATCATTGGAGCATTTAACCCTGAGGTGATGAACTCTTCTCTGAAGAAGCTATAGGAATAAAAAAAATACAAGTCTAAAACAGATTGTCCATATATCATTCTTTATGTAGCATAATCATCTCTTTGTAGGGCTAGTATGGTGCTGGTATAATATCTTGTCCAATATCTAGGCAGTGGTCTGAAGGAGCACATAGTAACCATTCTATTTTCTATGGCAAGATGTTACAGTGATCTTTCTCAATCTGCACATCTATAAAAATATGAATATCGATATGTAATCTTTCATTCATATCTCTACAAAAAGAATCCATTCTTTCTGAATTACATTCTTCAAAGATATTTTGGTGACTAATATTTATATTGTTTTCTATGATCCAACACGGTACAGAAATTGTGCTTCTAGTACAGAAGAAGCTGCTTCTACTTCTTAAAGCAGTTTTTGCTTATTGGGAAAGAAAACAATAGCCCAGTGCTAATTAAAATAAATGTGTGGTTTTGGGGTTTTTTTAGCAGCTGCATCCTTTTTCCAGGCTCATATAAAGCAATGGTGAAAAGTTCAAAGTTATTTGTTTGGGGAAAATGTTAAGAAGTATTTAAGCCAATTTCCTTGGGCTGGCTGGGGAATTCTGGGAATTGAAGTCCACACATATTAAAGATGCCAAGATTGAAAAACATTTCAACTACAGGTGAAGCACAGCAACATCGACACAGGATGTTGGAAGGGAAAGTGATACATGGCATGACATCATAGCACAGTTGATATCAATAATATAATGGCACACAAACCCAATTTTTATATGATCATAAGACAATTCAATTAATAAATTACTACTACTACTACAATACAATGACATTGTGGCTTGTTACCAATTACCTATGACTGGGAGTTTTCATCTTGTCCACAAATATCTTTTTCTTTCTTTCTTTCTACACTACTTCTTGACTATTCCACATGAGATGCTCCTCTACAGATTTTATTCTGAAATCACATTTTCGTGTTAACAGAATTTCCAGAGAATGAGCTTTCATCCATATTCATATGTTTTCTCCACTAATTTTCTTACTCTTTTTATTTGCACATAGATAAAAAGCAGTAGTGAGGAAAAGACACCTACCTGTATTATTGCCTATTATTCTAGTAAGAGGACTGAATTAATTATCATAATTTATTCATAGAAAACTCAGGCCTCCTTTGTTAATAACTCTAGGAATTATCTCCCCAGAAACCACTTCTACTGCAAATGTTTAAAGAACCAGCACTTGTTCTCTGTTGACATTTTATCTGGTTCTCATAAAGTTACATCATAACACGAAACCTTCAGTTTTATGGGCTTCCGTTTAGTGGACTTTGAACACAATAAGCCAAATCTGCTCTCTGTTGTTTGCTTTGGCACACCCCATGGGCCATTTTGTTTATGCATTAAATCCTATTTGGATTTAATGGATATTCTGCTTTATCAAGTACTCTTTCCCCCATTCATCCATTAGATTTTAAGACTATCAGATTATCTAGATTTCTACAGCCCAAATCTGCTAATCCTCATTATTTATTTTCTCCTTTTGCATCTTTACAACTATTTGCAAACTGGGCAATTTGAAATTATTCCAGGGGTTAATGTGTACCCTGTACGATCTATAAAATGAGGGATTACAGAATTGTTCCACCAGCGCTGTGATGGTCCAGCTAATGCCAACAGATTTTATACTGCCTTCCGATGGTCAGTGACCCTATAAATTGTTCGTGTGAAATCTCACTGTTTACTTATGTGCATATAATTACTTAGTTTCCTATCAAACCTTAAGTTTAGATGATAAAAGCTACATATGAACTGAGGTTTACGTATCACTCTAAACTTTAGTTAATTTCAACAGGCTTTTTAAATATGCTGCAGTAGCCAATGTTATACGTAATATGTTGTTTTTTATTTATTTATTTGTATCCTACCTTTATTGTTTTTTACAAATAATTCAAGGCAATGAACATATTCAACACATCTTCCTCATCCTATTTTCCCCACAACAGCAACCCTGGCAGGTGAGTTGGGCAGAGAGAGAGAGAGAGAGAGAGAGAGAGAGAGAGAGAGAGTGACTGGCCCAACTGGATTTCAGGCTAAGAAAGGACTGGAACTTCTGGTCTCTTGCTTTCTAGCCTGGTGCCTTAGCCACTAGGCCAAACTGGCTTGTTAAACCATGATTTATTAGAGTTGCTTCAATGGTGTTTGCCAAAAATCGGGCCACCAATGGAAGACAGCCAGGATTTAGGGTTTTCTGTATCTTCTTTGTTGTCCTATTGCAGCCATCTGGATTTTGGCAGCCTAGATCAGGTGGCTTTATTATTTACAAACCAGAGTGTCTATAACCATAATATATATCATGTCAAAAAACAACAACAAATAGGCAAGCCTATTTGGGAATGCAATATGGGAATCCAACTGCGGTTGCATTTTACCCTTTGAGGAAAATAAGGACAAGCAAACAAATGGTTACCACAACATCAATAATTTTGAGGAAAAAAAAAAGAATAAGCTGCTATTTCGCAATAGGATTTTTAAAACTATTGTTTTCCGTCACCAGCAATAACAACAGAAAAGCGGTACTCACATCTCTGTCCTTTGGGCAAGAACCTCAGGCTGTTTTCGGTGCTCAGGATCATATCCCGAGGGAGCACTTGGGCTCCTATTTTATCCTCCTGATTTCCTAACCTCAGTTACACATTAGCTGTCCCCTCTGCTGTCTGACTCTGATGGGCAATGTTCTGGGAAACGTGTTTTTCCATGTATTGGCAATTACAGCTTTTTTTTCCTTTCTTTCCCAAGGAGAAGAGCAAACATTGACCGAGATGGTCATTTCATCAGACTTTTGTCTGCTCTCCAGTTCTAGGGCTTCCACTATTCTGCCTCCAGTGTAGTAAATGTGGCCCGATAGCTCATTTTCCAACACATTGGGGATCATAGGAAGTTCCATAAATAATAGTCCCTACAGCAAAACTTTTGTAGATTATAAACAGGAAAGGAAACAGAAAAAGACATGAGTATGAATGATAGGTTTAGGTATTGACAGTAACACATTTATCTTAAATGAAATTGAGAAAACAGGAATGCACCCTTTGAGGTATTATAGTGGAGAAAACTGAGAAAAAAACTTGGTTCTTTTGACTAGGTGCTAACTTCGGATAGGAAATATCCATGTACATTTAGTCCTTGACTTACAATCGATCGTTTAGCCATTTACAGCTATTTGCAGTGTCCTCCAATCACATGACCATGATTGCAACGTTTTGGCTGAAAATCAATGTTTACTTCTGGTTTTTGGCAAAAATGCCCATAGCGAACAGTGGGTTCGTTTAACAACTGCAGCATTTAATGACAAGTGCAAAAAAAAGTTTGTAAAATCAGGTCCACTCACATGATGACCTGCACAACGTATGACTATAATGGGCAGCAGTGGTGGGATTCAAAAATTTTTACTACCGGTTCTGTGGGTGTGGCTTGTGGGCATAGCATGACTTGGCAGGGGAAGGCTACTGTAAAATCTCCATTCCCACTGCACTCCAGGGGAAGGATACTGTAAAATTGCCATTCCCTCCCCACCCCTAACCTGCTTTCTAGCTATGTTCTCTGGTGCAGGGCAACAAAAGAAGACACAGCCGATCAGCTGGGACTCGGGAGGCAGAGAATAGATGGGGACAGGGCCAGTCAGAGGTGGTATTTGCCAGTTCTCCGAACTACTCAAAATTTCTGCTACCGGTTCTCCAGAACTGGTCAGAACCTGCTGAATACCACCTCTGATAGGCAAGCTACACATTACCCATTACCTGTACACACCTTCCCTAAGCAATTGTTTCCAAGAACAAATTATTATCTGAAATGTCTTCAAAGTAGCTTTTGGTCACATCTTTTTTCTTCCTTTCTCTTCTGTTTATAAAGTAGTTCCACCATGTTCCTCCTGGTATTGTGCCTCTAATTACAGCAAGATTTTGGTCAAAGGAAAGGGAATTCCACTGACATAGAAAAATATGAACACTCCACAGACATAGCTGTACTAGCCCATTACAGAAGGAGCTACAGTCATGTAAAATTTTGAAGGCTGGTTAATTTAAGCTCAATCAGAATAACTCATCAGGAATGGTGGAATAAATGGATTTTTGGATCGATTCATCAAGGATATTTCATGTAACTGAATAAGCACGATATGAAGTGGAAAAAGTGGGTAAAGGAATATTCGACAAAAGAAAACTGTACGTATTAAAATGTTGTCTGCAGGTTCTTATACTTCACTATTTTATTATCAAATGGGTGGTACTGGATCACTCTGTTCTACCACAGGATTACCTTACTGTACAGGCAATCCAGTTGTGATAGGACCTTGCCAAATGTGATCCAACTTTGTTTGCCAATTGGGGTTATTCAGCCACTAGCAAAGGAGGGAAAAACGGGCTTGGTTAGAAAAATAAATTACATCGCAAATCAGTTTTATTTCTCTATTTAAATAAACCTCCCCCCCAAATATGGAAAAATGTTGCAAAATATGGCACTTTACTGAACAAAAGAGAGAGTTAAGCCCAGCATCTGAATGTACAAATAATTAATTTGCACGTAGGTTCATTTATCCATCACCATTTCCCACTTTGTACAAACTCAAAGTCAATTCATAGATAAAAATTACTTATTTCTTTTGTCCCTTGGGAATGGGAGGGTTTTAATCCTTCTTCTTAGATGTTACTGCCCCCTTGTGATCGTGAATGGGAAATATAGATGTAAGTATATATTAAACCAGTCTTCCAAAATTGGCGCCACACTCTTTACCAGCACTGATGATGTTACCTAGTTTGGGTAACAAAATGTCTGCAAGAAAACAAGCAAATTCAGACAGCACCAAGGACCCCTCATTTCTACCCTGAGCTACATATATTCTCCTTTATTGATACTATTTCCTTAAGCAGCATTTCAAAGTATTGTATGGCTTCCAGTGGCTTCCAGTTTTACAAATTGGATTGTGTTACTTAACATGTTAAGTATTACAAAGAAACCAAATCCCAATCAAATTTCTGCGTGGGAAAACTACTCACTATCATGTTCACAATTCACAGCATACTGTAGTACTAGTATTTCTTCTGCCCTAATGTATGCTAATGCCGCATGCACAAAAACTAATTTGCTATTTTTCTAAATAATCAAAGCTCAAACACTCAAAATGAGACATTTCCCAAACCATAATTCAATTAGAAATCATTTCATTTCTGGTGCAGTAATAAATTGCATGTATTAGCAATTTAAATAAGTTTAGGCCCATGGATTCATTCAGTTATATAAAGCTCTTATGGAATGATGCCTATGGATTAAAAGCAAGAAAGCAATTATATAACTTTGAAAAATGAACAGATTACAAACAAAAAGCACTGTAATCCCAAGGAAAACCCTGAAGAGAACTTTGAAATACAGTTGTATTCATGTTTTGAGTTACTGAATGTAAGGTTAAACAACCTGTGTAAAAATAAAATTTAAATGTATGACCTAAATGTAACTGATGAAGATGTTTAGTTAACCTAAAATTGCTTAAAGTCAGATCCACCATCGCCTTCAGTAATTAATACATACAGCAAAATTAACCATACTGGAACATCAACATATAAATGCCACTATTCTTTTATTTATTCTTTTATTGATTTTAATATAAAAACAAAACATGAAATGGGGAAAAAACAAAATGGAAAGATAAAGATACATATACTGACAAAGAAAAAAGCCCGAAGAAAGTGGAAAAAACACAGGAAAGAGAGAAAAATCATTTTAGCAATAAATAATTACAATTCTATATATAGTTATCTAATGCAATTATTATTCAAGGACATATATGTTTCTAATATATTTATATAATAATATTTTCTGTGGGTTTTTTTTAACCTAAGTTACGTTGTAAAAATGACTCCCATATTTTATTATATTTGTCCATACAAAGCTTACATCTATAGGCACTTTTCTCATAGGTGGAAGATACAATCAGGTCTTCAAATCCGTTGAGTGAATGGGGCCATCTTTCAAATGCTGCAATATCAGTACTTTCACCATAGTAGGACATGGAGGATCCATTTACATTGTCCAGTTCTCAAATTCCAAATGCTAGGTATGTAGTTCAGAAAATATTAACCTCTGATTTTAAAACTGGGTTCCCCATAAAATCATAAAAAGATATGAATCAGGTATAATACATTCACCTTTCACCTCAGAATGAAGAAATACAGGACTGGTTGGTCAAACAATATATGACTAACATTTTGCAGGAGGCAGTGACATAACTGCAGCTTTGCCTTGTCCTTTACATATTTTTGTAGGATTACTCTCAAATAGTATTTTTTTATTATGTTATGAAAACTTTTGAGGTGGATTTAAAAACTGGTTTGCCTGAACCGGTGAGAACTGGCTGAATCCCACCACTGACAATAGTCTAATTGGGAGGCGACTAGGGTACAAGTGACATGAGCAGGGCCTCTCAATCAAGGACTGTGCACAAATGATGCGCAATTAGGATAATTTACATGGGGTTGTCACATCTGCCACTGTTCCTTGAGTAGGAATCATGAGTCCAGGAGGGCCCTAGTCATGCATAGGGTCTGTTTGGGCCAATGTAAACCTATCCAGCCTCAAAGATTCATAGTCCAGAACCAGAAGATCCAAAAATCCAGGTTCACTCTGCCAGGGTTCAGTGGAAGCCTTTTGTTCCCCATCTAGACACTCACATTCTCCAGGCACTGGGATAAGATGTCCTCAACATTGCTTAATTAATCAGGGGCACAGATGTATCATACTGCTTCAGGGTTGTTGTTTTTTTGCTGCAATTGCCTATAATTGCATTTTATAATACTTACTAATTACTTACTAATACTTACTAATTTTGCTATCTGTAAGCTACTGCAGAAAGTTGAAAAATGGGATATCAATATTTTAACTTAATGCATACATTATGAGAATGCATGCATATGTGTGTGTATAAGATATATATATTTTCTTAAGTTTTCGCGGGTACTTACATGTATGGTATTCAGCTTTGCTTGGGTATTTTCCCACGTCATTGTAGTTGTGCTTTTAAAGTTGTAGCAATGTTTCGGCAGAATCCCATCCATCACCATTAGGCCCCTGCACTGTGTTCGTCTGTGAGTCAGACTTTTACAGTTGTTTGGTGTTTCTAATATCTTCTGTCTGTATTGTGGCTTTTTTTGTGTCTTGATTGGCTAGCAACATTGTGTAACTGTATTGGAGGCTTTTAGTGCAGCTTGGCTCCAAGTAAATGGATGGCTGTCATTTGTTAGGAAGCTAGGTTTCATCTAGGTGCCTGGTTGGGGTGTCTGAGCTGGAGGTATAAGGGGGGATCTGTTTGTGCCCAGGTGTTTGCCTGGCTTGTAGTGTGGAGATTTTTTTGTTTGTGAGTGCAGGCTTCCAAATGATTGACCGTCTGGTGGAATCATCTCTTCTATTCATGCTTTCAGGTCTTTTTTCAATCTCTATGGCTTCTCTGATAATTCTGTGGCTGGGGTTTTCTATAGTGGCTAGGGTTTTGGTGCCATTGAAGTTGATGCTATGACCTGTAGCTTTCATGTGTTGGACTAGTGAGGAAGTGTGTTCCAGCTTTTTTACTGCATTTTTGTGTTCATCCAGGCTGCACTAAAAGCCTCCAATACAGTAACACAATGTTGCCTGCC